CCCCCCCCCCGTTCTCTCCCCCCATTCTCTCTCCCTCCCTGGACGCTCCCCCTGGCGCCCTCTGCGGCCAGAAAGCCCTCCTTGCCTCCTCCCTGCTCCACAGAGGCAGTGCTGGGCTCGGAGTCTGAGTTCAGTACCAAGTACTAGCACTGTAGTGAATGCCAAGCACATGCTGCAGTGGAAGGATCGGGCCTCCCACCTGCCATGGCGGAGCTGCCCTGGAGCAGCCCCTCTAAGCCTGTTTCCAGGTCCCCGTGTCGCGCTTCCTCTTCAACCTGGAAGTGTGCACATCGCTGCTAGTTTCTTCACAACTGCTGTGTTGGCAGCCTGGATGGAGGGCAGCATATTCAAACAGCTTCCCCTAACAGCAGACTACTGGGGCTGGAGAGAGGGCTCAGCAGTTAAGAGCATCGGCCGCTCCTGAAGAGGACCTGGGTTTGATTCCCAACACCCACACGGTGGCTAACAACCCACCATAACTTTAGATCCAGGGGATCAGATACCCTGCTCTGACCCCAGCAGGCATTACACGACACAGGTGTACTTACATACATGAAGGCACTACACTCATACACACACAAAAATATAATGTAAAATGTTAAATAAAAACAATTTCACGTATTTACCCAGTACAAAGAGTATCGTATATTGTACCAAGTACTATGCCATCTAGCATGTACCTCCTTTACACATATGCACGTATACCACAAGAGCGGCTTCCCAGCAGGGCAATGCCCAGAGTGTCACTCAGTTGCTGCAGCTACTTGGGGGATGACTGTTGGGAGCCGCTAATCATGCAACTGTGTCAGGCTTGTTTACTGGGTGTGTGTTATGCACACCAGTATCTAATCTACCTTATTAGGAGGAATATGTTTATATGGAGAGCCTCACAACACCTGCAATAGTGGAAGCCTTTGATCTGACCGCTTCCTGACCCTCAGATACAGTCCTGATTGGCTCCGTGTGACGGTCTGATTGTGGGATGGATCTGATGAGGGTATATATCGTGGGATGACAAAGAATAAGAGTGAGAGAATTGCTTGAACCTCACCTTGGCGTTTGTGTTGTCCTTTCCTCGGCTCTGCTGGTCGGAGTGTTGGTTCGCAGCAGATGACTTTCTCCTGATGACACTGAGAAGCGACTGCCTTGTTTCTGTACAGGAGAAACAGTGAATTCTTACTCATCCTTTGGATTTCCATCAACCTAACTGGTACGGTGAGGATGCTTGTGTCATTTTTAGCTGCCATTCTTTATGAGCGGGACAGAGCAGGTATCCATATTGCCAGTGGCTATTTGAGTTTATTCTTGTGACCCCTCCACACTTGTGTCCATGGTCCATTTTCCTACTGATCTCTCTCTGGTGAGATTCATTTTTATCAGGGATGATCGTTAAATACCAAACCCCCCATATTTGCTGTCAGCACTTTGGCAAGCAGAAGTGCTTGTGTCTTGGGTCCTGTGGCTATCAGAGCTGAATTCTGGAGAATGGGTATGTAGACAACAGAGATTTTCTTTTCATAGGTGTAGAGAAGAGCAAGACCCAGGAGCCAAGAGTCCTGGTGTCTGCCAAGGGCCTGTTGTTTATAGATGAGCTCACCTAGCTATGGTTACATGGTGGGAGGAAGCAACCTTTCTGTAAGGACATCAGTCCTTGCCCAAGAGGAACTTCCATAACCGTAACTACCTCCCAAGGGCTCCAAGTGGGGGCAGGCAGTGTGAAGTTCCAACATATGAAGTTTGAAATTTGGAGGGACACCTACACTGAAGTCACAGCTTTTGCAGGATATGGATGTCATTTAGACTATCTTCTAGATGTCCTACTGGACATCACCAGGTTGAATTTGGGTCCCAGCACTGATTATGGGCTTCTCTGGGATTCACTGAATTAATGTGATCATGACCACAAACAGCGGGAAATAATTTTCTCATAAAACAGATTCCTTTGTTCAACAAGAAGCAGAGCTATGTGGACCAATTAAAGATTTGGGGACCCAACATTCCGCAGTTAGGGAACTGACTGGCTGTGTCTGCTCCACTGTTGGAGGAGATGCAGGCTGTTGTGGCAGTGAAGACACAGTGGTAGGTGAATGCACAGATAGCATGCCTCTGGGACTCACAGGTCCATGAGACAGGAAGCAGATCTCAGAGATGGGACAGGAAGTGGGACCAGGCTATAAACCTCAAGCCTTTTCCTCCCCCAGCAACCCCACTGAAGCCCTCTTCCCAAAGGTTCTATAACTTTCCAAAACAGCGTTGCTAACTGAAAATCAAGAGTTCAAACACATGTGTCGATGGGGAACATTATACATCCATTGGGGATGTGGCTTGGACCCTGGGCACACACATAAGAGGAGTTGCTTGAAAGCATGACCTGGGTCATTCCCTCAGGGCTTTGACCCCATTATCCACATGTAGGCATGTTCTAGTTTTGTTTCTGTTATTGTGAAAAACACCATGACCCAAAAGCAACTTGGAGAGAAAAGGGTTTGTTACATCTTCTAGTCCACAAGCAAGGCAACCCGGCTGACCCCTTGTCAACTTGACATACAAGCACATCACTACTAAACCATAACCCTTCTTTTTTTCTTTCTCTCCAAGATCGCATGTTAATATTAATAACACAAAGCTAGTATGACTTTAAAAGTTTCACGGTCTTTAATTCAAACACTTTAAAAAAAATCAGTCTCTTAAAAATATTCAGTCTCTTAACTCTAGGTTCCTGTAAAATCAAGAACTAGTTAAATGTTTTATTATTTCTTTAAAAAATATTTATTTTTATGCTTATGAGTGTTTCACCTACATGTATGTAATTGCACCTGTGCATACAGTGCCCACAGAGGCCAGAAGAGGGCATCACATCCTTACTGGAGTTGCAAATGACTGTTAGCCACCACGTGGGTGCTGGGAACTGAACCCAGGTCCTCTGGAGGAGCAGCCAGTGCTCTTAACTGCTGAGCCATCTCTCCAGCCCCTATTTTCTTATTTTAAAAGCAAAGAACCAAGCACACTCAAGCAAAACCAAAGTCCAACAGTGTAGCTCAGTGTCTGACATCTCATAACTCAATTGTGGTCTTCTGGCTCCAAAGGCTTGGGCAGCTCCACTTCCCTGGCTCTGCTGTCCACAGCTCACACAACTCATCTTCTAGGACCAGGCTGACTTTACTATACATTCATGATCATCCATGGTCCTGGCATCTCCATTATGATGGGGTCTCCACTGTACCCAAGGCTGTACCTTCACCAATGGCCTTTTGGTCTCTCTGCAGGGATGCCAACCTTGCCAAATGTTGTAAAGCCTCAACTGTTCTCCATGACCCCTTCATGCCTTAAAACCAGTATCATGAGTGATATATTTACACATCATCAAGTTTAGCTACCAGCTTGAGATGCAGCTTTGGCCTCCAGGGACCACAGCTTTGTGTGTTGGTCCTGAGGAAACACTTCCCAGAAGAGTTCACCTCTGTGATGCTGGTCTCATATTAATCAGCTGATCCTTCAGTCCCCACTGACCAGAAACCACAAATTCTCAATTCAAAATATCACACAAATGGCCCTGTTAGAGTCTTTGAGGGACTCTCAAACTTCCCTCTGAAACTTCACAAGCTTTGTCTCTGTGGTCTGCATTTCTCTCATTGTTCTTATCTTCCAAGCTCCCACAGGACAGCTCATTAAGCTCTAAGCACTCCAGGACTTTTCCAAACCAAAGTTCCAAGTGCTTTCACAATCCCCCCAAAACATGGTCAGGTCTTTCATAGCAATACATCATGATCCTGATGATCCTGGTACCAATTTCTTTCCCTCCCTTCCTTCCTTCCTTCCTTCCTTCCTTCCTTCCTTCCTTCCTTCCAGAAATCAAAGACCAAAGGATTTGCCAACATGGGGTCAACTTTGATGGAATAATGAAGGTTTAGATCAGCTCCTTTCTTCTTTCTTTCTTTCTTTCTTTCTTTCTTTCTTTCTTTCTTTCTTTTCTTCTTTCTTTCTTTCTTCTGCTTTCTTTCATTGTTCTGACTACCTATCCCTAGCAGGCCTGGAACTCCCTATGGAGACCAGACCGGCCTCAAACTCAAAATCACAGAATCTGCCCGCCTCTGCCTCCCAAGTACTAGGAAAAGGTGTGTACCACCATGCCTGGCACCAAGTTCTGTTTTAGTTTGCATTTTGTTGCCGTGATAAAATACTGGAAAAAACAGCTTGGGGAGGAAAGGGTTTATTTGGCTTACAGGTTATAGTCCACTACTGAGGGAGATCAAGGCAAGAACTCAAGACTGGAACCTGGAGTCAGGAACCGAAGCAGAGGCCATGGAGGAGTGCAAAGGCTTGCTCCCCCTGGCTTGCTTACCTATTTTGCTTATACAGCCCAGGAACATCAGCCCAGGGATGGCACCTCTCACAGTGGGCTGGACCCTCCCTTGTCAATTAGCAATTAAGGAAATGCCTCACAGACATGGCCACAGGCCAATCAGTTGTAGAAAATTCTTCAACTGAGATTCTCTCTTCGGAGGTGACACTAGTTGACAGCTTGACACTATCCAGCACAGGGCAAAAAGTCTGCTGTCAGAAAACTTGCAACTAGGGAGCCTCAGTCCTGGAAGATCCTCCCTTCAGAGACTAGTCAGGCTGGTCACAGCACACCGGGCTGCAAACCTTCCCCATGCTCTTACCTTCCT